TGCAATGATACTTTGAGAAGTTTGATAAAATGTCGACTAATTCTCTAAGAAACTAGATTGCAGTTCAAAGATGAAGGAATAATTCCAGGTTGTCATTCACCAAGAACTGACGTAAGTTGGAGGAAGACAGGCAACCCGAGATCATTGCACAGGAGTTGTTTTCTCCAAGTATGGAGATCATCAGTAGTGCACACCCACTACCGCTGCTCAATGGTCGGAACAATAACCCTCAGTTTCAGTGGCAGCATGTCAAAATTGAGCCACCTGGTTGAAATCCGATGGTCCATATTTTCAACTTCTGTTAGTTCATGAGACAGTGCGATCGTCGTCCATTATCATCACCGACTATTTTTCCTTATGCCCACCACACTTGCCACACTGGTCACGAATTCTAATTACAACTTTAAAAAAACTAGTAAACGCGAGGACAAACACTCAGTGATGACACTGGATGATGTTCTCAAACATCCTGCTTTCGATCCCTGTGTTGTGGAGTTACAGGTAGGTAGTGCTGAGCAGTCCTACACCGCGACGAAACAGCTGTTGTCCAGGTCTCACACATCTACAATGCTCCTTCAACTACTGATGTCAGTCCATGATGAATACCAACTTGAAATCAATAAATACTCCCCAACTACCTCTAATTCGAAGGAATAAATGTTCTGTAATTAGCGGGTAAGTCTATTTAGAGGTGATGAGAAAAACCAGAAACCTAAGCATCATTCATTGTATATCGAATTTATTTTGATCATTTAGATCAATAAATTGATTTACCCTAAATATTCTTAATCATATACACATTTCATTACCATTAAAATTTCTCATTATGAATTGAAAGTTATTTAAATGAACAAAGAATGCTGGTTTCAACCACTTTGTCTTTTTCAGGTTGGACAGTCCGATAGAGAAATTATGCATCAACACTATTAACATTTCCCTTATCAGTCTGTTGGTAATATTATACACCACGAAGGAATTCTCTTCACGAAAGTCCTTTGTGAAGGTTAATGTCAGAGTCAATCATTTTTTATCGGAATTCAATTCAGTGAAATAGTTGATTATCTAAACGATTATATACACGGCATAGGGGTGATACTATTAGGTGATTGTTCAACTCAACAATACAAAGGTGTTTATGAGAGTTGAATGAAATAAGCTAAGGGGAACAATTTAAGGAACCAAAGCCTAATAGAATGTTATTCATGCTTGGGAACAAAGCAGGTTTACAGAATGTGATAAAATCATTTCAGATTATGCGGATGGAATTTGGAAATTATGTTACCTGACCTAGGATGTTAAAAAATTTCTACAACCCGAGTGGAGCCACAGTAGTTTTAGTGCCTTTTGGGAAACTGATGGGAACCCGATACACAATGGAAAACAACCTATTCACGATATGATTCGTTTCAACCTTGTGTACTATTATCATAGCTCTAATTAACCACGCTGAGAGATGTTCGTGAGCATAGAGAATTGAATACCTACATCACTGGCTAAAATAACTGACTCCATAGGAGCATATGGAGTGAATCCTCTTCAGAAAAGCCTCGTGTGTGTGTGTGTGTGTGTGCAAGTTTTCATGTCAGAATCAATCATCACTGGAGTTCAGTCCAAAATTATTGATTATTTAAATGATAGTATGGTTTATATAATGTGATACACAGCAGATTCAAGGCAGTTTACCCAGAAACCATCGGATTTCAACCAGGTAACAGAATTGTAAAATGCTAGCCAGGAGACCGGAGGGTTTTGGGTTTGATTTTATTTCATACTGTTGATATCCTTCCGTCCGCATAGTCTGTTGGACCTCAAGAAGATGAATTTATCGAAGGGACTATTCTTTGTTCACTCATATGACACCTAATTTCGTCTGAGTTTGTAAACATAATTCAAGATTCAACGTAGACCTTTAAACGTAATGTGACGATAAGAAGTTTTTTGAAACAACCTTGTCAATGAAATCTTTCCACGTAATTACTGACGAAACTTTTTTCAACATGTTTATTTTTTCATAGCAGCCTGGTGGTTGAAATTCAGAGCAAACCTGACAAACATCAATAAGTCAGGCCACGTATTTCAAAGAAGATATTCTGCCATGTATTCATTGTAGCTTCTAGAGGTGAATGGACAGGAAGTTATGAGCTTAGGTTCCGCGCGTATTAGGTCTCATCAGCAAGGTTTATCTGAAACTATAAGACGGTTTGTATTCCCTCAGTCATTTTAATTTGTATCAGTTATTTTTGATGTCAGGTTCCTGAGTAATAAGGCACTATCATTAGTCGGCATTCAGCATTCTAACCGGAAAATTTCTTTCGTTCAACAGAGCCAATGACTTCCTTGCCAATCTAATCACTACTGTGAACAATCGTTGTAACTAACTTTTACCAGGAGATGAAGCCAGTCATAATAAATTTATCAGCTTCATTGTCATGTAAGCAGGTTTTACTGAGAAGAAAAGGTCAATACTGACTAACAAACTATTTTCCTCAACAACAAAGAAGACTAAACACTATTTAAGCAGTGGATAAAAACTATTTCATTCACAAAAATGGATATGTTTATCTGAATAGCTTCCCAACAGGCCACTAAGTAAGTGCATAAGAGGGATTTACATAGACAGCGTAATATCAGGGAATTAGATGGTGGATGATATAGGTCGCTATTCAAGGTAAGTAAAGGTTGAATTTCGTTTGTGCTTTGAAGTTTCTTTAGCGATTGGATTGGTTTTACGGGGTAGGGTTGCTATCCCCGCGCCCATCCTCCCCTCTTTATCGAGGGTAAGGACCGGCTAGTAAACCAGGCAATGATCTTCCTGACCGTGGTTGACTAGACTGTATCATGCAAGAAACTGTGAGCAGTGAGAAGATGAGCATAACCTGTTTGACCGATGAAAACAGCCCACAAGAAGATTTGGATTTCCAACCATGATAATTCATGGCTAATGTCTTATGTTACACAAACTCGAAGATCTACAGGCGAAAACTAACAAGTTGCCAGAAGAGGCGGGGAAGGCAGCGAAGACGTGACTTTCTTCAGGTGAACGTAGAGAAGTCAGAGGTGATCAAGATACACAACCAACAAAACAACAACAACAACAACAACAACAACAACAACATGCACCAATCACCACCAACGGAAGAAATCCAAAGCAAGTTGTCTCCTTCACCTACCTAGGCAAGCAGTATCGTCTCAAATACAGGCGGCGGCAACGTCACACGTAAGGATGTCAAAACCAGTCAGGATTGGAAAGACATCAAGACACACCTTCATTCATCAATCGGAAATCAGTGTGGAGATCTACTGCATTGTATTGCGATGCAATGCACTGGACTACACTCAGCATAAAGTGTGAACGTGGTCCGGATTATCAACAGTAATGTCAGTCAAGTAAGTCAGTGCTTATATATGATGGTTGAGAAAGTTGGCATGTTACGAGAAGCATTTCTAACGAACTACAGACATACGTGATGAACAACTTCCGCCTACGCTCACTCGACACTGAAGATGGAGATGAGATGGATGGCCAGAGTAATAATGATCATAATAATAGACAACAAGGAACTCTGGCTGGTTGGCTGGCTGGCTGGCTGACTGGCTGGCTGGCTGGCTGGCTGACTGGCTGGCTGGCTGGCTGGCTGGCTGGCTGGCTGGCTGGCTGGCTGGCTGGCTGGCTGGCTGGCTGGCTGGCTGGCTGGCTGGCTGGCTGGCTGGCTGGCTGGCTGGCTGGCTGGCTGGCTGGCTGGCTGGCTGGCTGGCTGGCTGGCTGGCTGGCTGGCTGGCTGGCTGGCTGGCTGGCTGGCTGGCTGGCTGGCTGGCTGGCTGGCTGGCTGGCTGGCTGGCTGGCTGGCTGGCTGGCTGGCTGGCTGGCTGGCTGGCAACGAACCGACCAACCAAGAAGTTATCACAGAACAAATATGCAGAGGAGGAAAGTGGAGATGGATTGGATTGGATTGGGAATACAGTGAGAAGACCGTTTTAGGACATCATGCGTCAGGCGAGACCAGGCTAGATCGTCGAGTGGAACCCGAATGGGAAACAATGAGTGTGGCGTGTGAGGTGAGGGTGACATGGAGGAGATGGTGTGAGGAAGAAATGAAAGTTTATGGGCAGTCATGGAAGCGCTTTTCGTCCTACTTTAGGCTCATTAGTGGATAGTGTTGTTCCTCTTTCCACTAAGACCTAAGCCGAGGACTGACCGCTTCCAAGTCCAAGGTGTTATTCACTAGCTCATCGAGGTTTTTTGGGAATGACATTACTCTCTTGGCAGCGAGTACACGCAGCTGACGAGCTGTAGATTGGGCGAAACACATCCTGGATTCCGCTGTTAACCATCATCCATTATTGGTATCAAATTGAAAACCCATGAAATATCGAGGCGTCCGGATGGAAGCTGATATGGCAATAGTGGCCTATCAATTCGATTCCATCAAATACAGAGACTTAAAAGTGATTACATTAAAGCGAGTTTGAAAATCTTTACCACAATTACTTCAGTTGTGTGGAGAAGACAAGACTGTTATCTAGGACTCAAGTGGCTGGAAGGCTGAGGTTAACCACCAATGATCTAATTCGGGGCCTTAAGTTTTCACAGTAAATAGGTTAGCGATCCAGCTACTTGGCTACAGTACAATGATCCACAGTTTCCTACTTCTGTCAACCCAAGATAAAGCGGAACTATTCACCAAAGTCTTCATTTACATCCACTTATCTAAAGGGTTAACATATAGTGCTAGGGAATATTGATTTTTCGGAATAGTACTCAATGCGTGTATATGTAGTGGGGTGCGGGGAAGGCGGGTCTAAAGAAAGGTATATTAGGATGAAACAAACAGTCTATACTTTTCAATATCCAGTTACTTTTCTATTGTTTCAACACTTCACAATGAATATTCACTTTAAATATGCTTGAAACTAACTTTAATGCATTTTACGAAATGAATTCTTCAAGAGTACAAACAAAAACAACCTGAGATAAATGAATGACTTTTTTTCTCATTCACCTGATATATCGCCTTCATGTTTCAACTGTTGCATTGTAGATGTGGTCATGTGAATAAGTGCATCCAGTGCAGAATTTGGACCGAAACTGGAAGGTGTCAGTGAAATATTACTGTAACTACCACTACTACTATTACCATTATTAGTAGCATTGTTATCGTCACGTATACTATCATTATTATCATTGTTATTATCATTATTATGATTATTATCAATACCAATATTTACAGGAATACGTTTGCTGCTCTGTGTATAATGATTACTGTCATTTGTTAAACCATTTGTTTCTTTGAAGTAATTTTTTATCAAATGATGACTTTTATACAAATCACTAATTTTTTGTTGAGCATTTAAACAGTTCATTGAGTTAAACCATACTTTATATGCTTTCATTTCATTGACTTGGCAAGTTTTTATAGTGTTTTCTACATTTGAAAAGTTTAAAACTTTTTCTTTACCAGTAACAACTTTTCTCGTTTTATCAATTTCTCTATCTACCTCTTTCTCTCCTCTTGTTACATCCATACTCTGTGTATAAATATTATTATTAGTAGTATTGTCACTATTGAACATTGAATCTTGAATTTGTTTTAATTGATCAAAAGTATAATGTAGGCATTGATCATTGAGTTTGGTCCAACATAATTTTGATAAATTTGAATTATTCAGTTGTACAGCATCATAGTTTTTTAACTGGTTATTTGTGTTGTTATAATTACCCGACGAATCTTCCAGAATATACCTCCAGAATTCACTACAGAGTTGTTTAAATGATTGAGTATTGTCTAAATTTATACTTGATTTGAATTTATTTTCATTATGTTGTTCATGGTTATGATGATTTTGAGTAGAATTTCTATTCAGTTCATCTGGAAATACTCTTTTATCCTCTTCAGTTTTTTCTTTGAGCATTTGTGAAAATGGACTTTGTGCTGGATATGTTGAAAGTGAGGACTGGAGGTGATCTGATAAAATTTGTTTTGTGTACAATGATGAATTAGCTGCTAAAAATTGAAATAAATAATCCCAGAAATGTGCATTATTATTGTTATTATCAGAAATCGAAGAATCGGCCAACTTTTCTTTATCATATTGAGAACGTGAACTATTTTCATCTTCTTTCTTTCTGTAGTTTTGTTGTTGCTCCGGAATTTCTGTGGATTTAAAGTTTCCGCTTTCATTTGGTAAGTGTTCAAGGTTATCTGATTTCTTGATTGATAAAATATCTGTGATTAGGAATGAAGAGAACGAGTTGAGTTTATCTGTTACTGTTATATTTCCAACTGTAAACGATACTGTGGGTAAACTGTCTTTGAATTCTGACATAGTGTCTGAAATATCCAGCAGATAGTCAGTGGTTAACATCTGCAAATGATATCACTACTAATTGTAATAACAATAGTAGTAAAGTCAGTATATGAGAATTGTCTGCCAACTGATTAGCTATGATACTGTACTGTCCTATATGCTTCATAAGATAAATATTATTTAAACACATTCAACTTATTGCTTGTTTGTGTACTTGTTTCACTATAATTTACAAACAAACAAAAAGAAAACAACAATTTGACCAAATAGCGGCGTTACAATTAACCGACGAATCAGATTTCAGTTAAGCAACGGTTCAATCACTCATTGGTTAACTATTCTTTTTCCAGAAAACAGGGGAATAATTTAATTCGTCAGAGTGATGGTAGATTCAGTAGTGATTATTCACTCTGTAATTTTCTGAATCAATTAAAATTAATTTTTGATTGTTTTGATGTAACAGGTGAGAAAGAGAAGGAGGCAGAGAAATAAACAATAAAATAAGTTAAAAGTAGTATTCATCAGGGACTGACATCAGTTGGGGAACCATTGAAAATCTGGGAGCACTGTCAGTCCATGATGAATAGTACTTCAAAATTAAAAATCCCCATTCATCTCAAAAATACATTACTCTATAGTGCTCACTAGTGACTTGCTTCCAGATGGATGTCAGCAAGTTCTAATGAGAATCCGTGACCTGAGGGGTCAACCAGTCGGAAGTGAAGTGTATGCTAAGTGAAGGGGAAGACGTTGGGTGACAGTCGCGCTATGTCGTGAATTGACAGAAGTTGGAAATTGTAAACCAGTGGAAACCGACCCAGTGGCTGAATGGTTAAGGCGTCCGCCGTGAAACCTGAAGGTCCTGGGTTTGATCCCTAACCGGGTCGTGGGTGCGTACTGCTGAGGAGTCCCATAATAGGACGAAACAGCTGTCCAGTGCTCCCAGGTTTTCAATGGTTCCCCAACTGATGTCAGTCCATGATAAATACTGCCTCTTAAATAAAACAACTGAATATTTGGGCCCTATTGAAGCTTTTGCATAAGAGCTCACCTGCTAACTGAGGTCGATGCGATGCGCACTGGGTTCGAGTCTGAGTGGGAACAACATCACTCACTGGGGTGTAGTTTCATCCAGCTGACGAGTTTGAAATCGCACCAAACGCACGTCTTCGGTTCCAATACTGGCTATCATGTACACTACAGAATAAAAAAAACTATATTATGAAACGTTTGGAAATCCAGTCGGTTAGAGACCAGCTGGAAGGGGTGGGGGGTTATGTCAGTGTTCATAGCAATTTAGAGCACTGAGAGATTTTCTTGATCATGCAGAAGAGACAGTGAATACCAAGCCTTTATTTTGTTCAGTAAGATGTACTCATAATTACATAATCACGGGAACAGAGAGAAAGATGTAGGCATATTCGTAAAATCATCAAACATTCAAGCCTAGTAATACTTGAAGGTGAAATGAAAATTCTGGCCGCAAACGATTCGAACCAGTGACCACCGAGTTTCCAACGCGGTGCTCCACCGAATGAGCTATGAGACTTGGAGGCAAACCACATGCTGGCCACGGAGTCTGAAGTTACTGGGTTCATCCCTGGTTGGAGGGAGGGGGGTCATGGGTGAGCACTACTGAAAAGTTCCATGCTAGGATGAAATATCTGTTGTCCAGTACTTCCAGGTTCCCAATGTTCCTCCAACTGGTGTCAGTTCATGATGATAACGAACTCGAAAAATTACGAGCCAGACTTATGATGGAATTTCATTTCTATTAGAGGTTAGATAAAATGACACTGATTACGTTATTAAGTAAGTATATGGTTCACCTTACCTTGAAATGTGGTACTTATCTGTCTTAGCATTTTCAAGGTCGACCTTTAGTGCACGGTATCCTTCTGTCTCCACTCTTGTTTGAGATGAGAAGGAAAATATGATTGATTGGTTCCTTTGTCGCATAGAAGATTTGTTCATCCAGTAAGGAAATAAATTAAGCTGTCCTGGACCAAACTAACGTCAATAAAACTAGGTATCAGTTATTTCCATCATTAAACAAACCAGTGTACCCTTTTGATAGTGTAATTTCAATTTAAAGTTGATTGAATGAATTCACCATTGTTGGATCGGATTATTGAAATGGTAATGCCAAATCGTAGATTAATAAATACGTAATGATCAGTTATAAAGTCTAGAAAATATGATTCTCCATGTTCACTACGACACTTTTCATCACTTAAGTAAATAATCCACAAGTCAAGGTCATATACTCAAAGATATTGATTTCCTTTGTGAAATCAGAGGGAGAGAGAGGTGAATGAACTGAAAAATCCATGCATATGGCGAGGTGCAGGAAATGCGTTCTCGCCTTACCAAGACTCATCAACTGGATGTACCTACCGTCCAGTGAGTGATATCGTTCCTGTTTGAAACTGCTACCCAATAAGCATTTTGTAAAGCTCTAAAGTACTATCCACTTCTGAGTCACGATAGCCATTCTATGTGTAATGTGTATGGCATGCGAAAGATTCCAGTCCTAAGCAAGACATTATGAATAAAATTCTGAAGATGGTCAAAGCGAATAAATCTGATGGTTTAACCAGCTGACAGGTCAATTAAATTAGGCGAAGGTATTAGAAGAAGGTGACACACAGTTTATGTTCTCATTGGATGCATGGAAGAGGAAGACATTGCAAAAACATAAAATCTTCCGTTGGAATTCATGATAGACTGATTTCAGTTGGAAGAATATTGAGAAACGGGAAGAACTCGACACCTGTCCCGTCCCACTATGGGACTCCTCAACAGTGCGAACTCACGACCCTAATTCGCTAGGGGTCAAACCCAAGACCTTCAGGTTCCGTGGCCAGCACGTTACCACTGTCAATGTGTTAGAATCCAGTGGTTCATATTTCCAACTTCTCTCAGTTCACGATATAGCACAGCCGTTATCCCATGTCATCATTGAGTATCTGTCCTCATGTTCGACTTGGTTGACTCCACTGACAGGTCGTCCTATATCGTGAACTGACAGAAGTCGGAGATATGGACTACTGGATTCCGACACGCTGACTCGATGGTAAGGTGCTGGCCACGGGACGTGAAGGTCATGGGTTCGACCCCTGGTGGGTGGGGTCATGGGTGCTCACTACTGAGTCCCACGCGAGGACGAGACAGCTGTTCAGTGTTCCTCCAAATGATATCAGTCCATGATGAATTCCAACCTAAAATCAATTAATGAACCTCCACAAACCTCCATATAAATGGAGCATTGGATATCATATAGTCACATGACTGTCAAGTAAAACCGTTGGTTATTGGATTGAAGTTTGGACGTGATAACTAGCCGGGTCTCACAACTCAATTGGTTAATTATTAGTTGGCCGGAGGCAGTCAGTAGGAAACCATGGACCTAGGTTTCACGTTTGTTGGCACTCGTCAGCAAGGCATATCTACAACCTCTATGAAACTAATATCCCACCTGGGATGCTAATGCCCATTACCTATTTACCACTGAGCTATTCGGGACGTGACAAAACCCCTGTAGGACTGGATTAGATACACTGATTGGTCACTGGGGGGTAACCAACCTCATGTTGTCTAGTACTATGTGCTGATCGAATTCGATCAATCACTTTTGCAATGTGCCCACCAGACTAGGCAACTCAGCATCACGGTGCACTGTGATAGATGTTAGTTGGCTGGAGATAATCAGCAGGAAGCCATGGACCTGGGTTTCGCAGTTGTTGGCACTCATCAGCACTGCGAATCTCAGGTGAGACATCAGTTCCGTCGAGGTTATAGATACGCCCTCCTGACAAGTGCTGGCAGATATACAACTCGGGTCAACCAACTAATATCCATCAAATTGCGCCATGATGCTGAACTTTCTAGCTTAGTGATTACTCTCCAATCATCAATCAACGTGCTCTTGTATGTTAGATTAGTCTATTTAATATTGTACATAGTATTATTTACTAGACAACATTTCAAGCACAATTTCCTATTTTCAAGCCTATCAAAGTAATCATGCGACTTTCTACATATCCAGTATCAATATTGCATCATTTTGACTACATGTGTTAAGCGTTGAATTGATGAACAGAAATTCAGTGACCAACCTCTTTATTTGCTTATTTAGTCTTCAGGATTGTATACTCTATCACACCCTATGGTTTGGTTGTTTTATCACATGTTTAGGCTATAGCCGAACTCTTCTTATCTTATTAGGGTTTATCACTTCTGTTAATAATCTGACTGAACTTATTTGGCTAGTTCAATCTATGCACTTGACCTGACAGTAATTCCAGGGTATTTGGTAAATTAAATTATCCTCTCTAATTGCATTTATATAATCCTTCAGTCGATTGGTGGGTTTGTAAGTATGAATACCACCCTAATCCCAGCCTTGCTGAGAGTTTTACAATGTCCCTTCCTTGCATGGCAACACTGTAGAGGCCTTGAATTCCTTCTTTAGTAGTGTTATAATCATGCCAAAAACCAAGAAACCTACATCAACGGTTTCCTACTGATTACCTGAAGTCAACTAACGTCTATCAGAGTGAATCGTGATGCTGAGCTCCCTAGTCTGGTGTCCACATTGCAAAATGATCAGTCGAGTTCGATCAGCACTTAGGATTAGATGACATGAAGTTGGTTACCCTCCAGTGACGAATCAGTCTATCTAATCCGGTCCTATAGGAGGTCAGTCGCATCCCAGGTAGCTCAGTGGTAACGTCTTTAACTACAGGACTGGGTGATATAGCCTTGGATCTCAGGCGGGATGTCACTTCCGTTGATGTTGCGGACATGCTTTACTGACGAGTGCCAACAAGCATGAAGCCTAGGTTTACTGCTCTGTGCTGACTGCCTTTATTCAACCAACATATTCTAACTAAGAAAGTCAATATTATCTTATCGACCATCAAGTTTATGTGTCCGGAGATGCTATGGATATGTTAGAATATCAACTTGGTAGATGTGCCATCCACATATCTCCATAATACCTTCGATTTAGTATGAACTGTTCTAACAGTCATACTTTCTCACTTGTCTATCAAGAAATATCTTCTACCATTAAAAAGATTTTGATGTCGCCATCAACGGTAGTGCCTTGTCTATTACTGATTGCAGCTGTCTATAGAATTCC